TGGTGGGCACCCTACACAGCCGGGGGGTCTCTGTTTGCAGCCAGTGCACACCAGGACCCCACTGGGGGGGGTCGTGGTCGGCTTAACTGGCTGCAGGGGGGGACCCCAAAACGACCCCAACCCCCCCCTCAAATCCCCGGGGACCCCCTAAAAAGCCCCCCTTACCCTCGGAGCTGAGCTGCTCGTACTCGTCCGACACCATGTGCCCGCACAGGGGGAACTCGTCCACCTTCGCCTTCTTCCTCCCCAGGTCGAAGATGCGGATTTTGGGGTCTGGGGGGCAGGGGGAGCACGGGGGGGGGTCAGTGGGAGGCTTTGGGGGTGATTTTGGGGGGCGTTTCGGGGGTTCCGAACTCACCAGGGACCCCCCGGCAGAAGCGGGACTTGGGGTAGGGTTTGTTCTTGCAGTACCGGTAACTGCGGGGGGGTCAAAAAAGGGTCAAAAAAGGGGCGGAGGGGGGGTTGGGGGACCCCCAAACCTCGGGAGGTCCCTCCCAGACCCCCCCGATCCCTCTGAGAGCCCCTAAAATGCACCCACCTCCCCCAGACCCCCCTTTTTAACCCCCAAACGACCCCGTCCCCAAGACGCCATTTTAATCCCCACACCTTCTTTTTAAACACGACCCGGACCCCTTTTTTTAACCCCTAAATGACCCCCCCAGAGCCTCTTTTTAACCCCCAAACGACCCCGTCCCCAAGACTCTCTTTTTAACCCCCACACACCTTCTTTTTAAATCGACCCGGCCCCCCTTTTTAACCCCTAAACGACCTCTCTGGACCCCCTTTTTAACCCCCCAGACTCCTTTCTAACCCCCAAAATCCTCTCTGCCCGACCCCCCTTTTAAACCCCCAAATGACCCCCCCAGACCCTCTTTTTAACCCCCCTTAAACCCCGGTTTTAAACTCTAAAACCCTCCCTGCCCGGTTCCCGTTTTTAACCCCTAAAGGACCCCCCCCCAGACCCTCTTTTTGATCCCCAAAACCACCTCCCCCCAGACCGCCGAGCCGCCCGTGACGTCAGAAGGGCTCTATGACATCACCAGCCCCCGCCGTGACGTCACGCCGCTTACCATCGTGCCGGACGGCGGCCCATGGCGACTCTGGGCCTTGGGGACCTGCGGGGGGAACATAATGGGGCGTGTTGAGGGCAGCGGGACCCCCAAAACCCCCCTCAAAACCGCCCCCAACTCCCGCCCTTCCGCCCCTGCCCACCACGCTCCGACCTCGCCGAGCGCCCGAAAGAGGCCGCGAGCGCCTGCGCGCCGCTTTTATACCCCGAGTTAACTTCCGGTCACGCCTTTTCCGCTTCCGGTGCCGCTCTGGCCGCCTCGGAGGACCCGCCCTGGAGGACCCGCCGGAACCCTCCCGGTGAAGCCGCCTGTGTTCGGAGTGAGACAACGAGACCCCCCGAGACCACCGAGACGGGTTGAGGCGTGGGGGAGGGTGGGGAGAGCTCATACGGGCGGCGGGAGCCGCTCTGGAGGCCGCCGCGGTCATAGAGTGTGAAGGAGGAGCGCCAGGCCAATCAGAGCGCGCGGCGCGGCCGCGCAGGCGCAGTGATTGCGCCCTTCCCGCCCTGCGGTTTCTGGGAAGTGATTGGTCATTGC